TACCAAAGAAGAGATTTATAAAGACTTTAAACAGGGTTGTTCACCAAAGGCTTAACCAATTCTTTTCCAAATCGACGCTTTTCACGGGCTTATTTTTTCTTTGTAACAAAAAGGTCTTTTTCAAAGAAAAAATCAATTGTAGATGAATAACACCAACAAATTATCCATCAACTACATCTCTCTATTTTTCATTTTCATATTTTCTTATGTTGTCTATGCCAAAAATGAACCATAATGTCACAAACCATTTCAATAGTTGATCTGGAATCTGGATCATATGATCAATGGAGCCAGAAAAAATGTTTTCTTCTTTTATATATAAAAATAAAAACACAACATTGAAATCATTTATATTAGAACATAAACGATATATATATATATAATGAATTTTGGTGGCATATAATTCAACAAATATTACATTTATCGTTTATTTATTGGATCAATCATATTTGAACCCAGTAATTAATATTCCTGCAGTAAAAAGATGAAACTTTGTATATAGAATTATTGCCTAAAAATAATCAACAGTAGATGAATAACAAAACACAATTGATCAGACGCATTTATATTGTTCCTAAGAATATATCTAAATTGGGAATTCAAGCAAATTTTATCTTATGCTTTAAATACTACATCAATTTGTTTTTATATTTGAGATTTCTCCTAATTGTTTTCCTATTCTAATAGATTTACAAGTTTGAATTACAAAATAGTCAACCACATTTACTAATCAATAAAGATTTTGAACCATTTATGTCATCATTATTAATTTCTAAACTAGATTTAAATGTTAATCCACTAAAAAAACACATAATTATAAGAGAAATTGGCCTCTATATTAGTTATTGATCATATATTTAATTATCTAACATCACATAAAATGAAATATAGTAACTAACATTCTAATTATGTGAGATTCTAATTATACCCTTAATATATTTATGGTAAATGCTCTCATATCTCTTTTTCATCATTATTTCATTTATTACATTCTTTTTTCTATTTTGTTTCTCTTTAATTTTCAAAAAAACATATTAAAGATTAATAAATTTTTTACACTATTAGGAGGAAAAAAAATAACCAATATCAAAACATTTAGACTTTTCATTTCTATATATTATATATTTATATATGCAATTAAATATGTACCCAAATATACTTATCTTTATATGTAATTAATTATTAAATATAGTTAGTTATATATAGTTAACTATAAATCCAAGTATAGTTCTCTATATTAAAAATTATTTTCACAAATAGTCAGTTATACGAGTTATATTCACGAATAGTTCACTTCTG